TGTCTTTAAGTTATATGCTTGTGTTACATTATTATTGATATAGTATTGGTCCATAACAGATTGTGAATCTGCTGTGTTTGGACTTTGAGTTGTGGACTCTTGGCCTTGGGTGTTAGCTTGCAAGGTAAGCTTTCGTGTCCTCGGTTTAGCCATGTTGTGGTTCCACCATGTCCCATGGGGGTGTGGTTATATGCATGCTGTGTTACATGCTTTGAATATTTGAAATGCTGTTGAACTTTATGTGTAATGGCTTTTAATATGCATGTGTTGTTTCATTTTGACGGTAATCCTGAGTATGTGGCGTCATACGATATGGTGATCCGGGGTGAATGCAAGTAGCGTCTTGCACTAGTGTGGGTATTTGGCGTATGTAAATCTTGCATTTCTCTGGCCAGTAGAATAGTATTGACACACATGACATGATTATCTGCTGCATTACACTGTTTTAGAAATGATATTGATGAACTGCTTTTAAACTTATATTGCACATGTAAGTGAGCTTGAGGTGGAAGATCCTTGAGGACCCCTTGCCTTACTGAAATTTCTTGTTTAGAGATCTCACCCCACGTTTGGGGAATGCTTATTTCAGGTTCCGGTAGTTTGGTGACTGATGCCTCTGGCGGCAGGAGGCCAGAGCTTAGTTGATGATATTATGTTGTATTGCTGCCATGACTGGATTTGGATGCTATTTATGTTTTCCGCTATTTATGATTATGTTGTTATTGAGATTGATGTTGGGCGTGTTGCCTTATTTGAGTGAGCATGGGGATTGTCCATGACACATTATGTTAGTACCTTAGATTGGAGTTGTATAAACTGTTAGATGGTCCGGTCTACGTTGTTGTAGTTCCGTGACTAGAGCCACACTTTTATTGTCTATGTTATGAGGTATTTTCAGTTAGCTGTTTTATTGCAATTACATACAGGCGATGTTTTATTAATTGATTAATAAGCAAGTTGGTAATGATAATGACATCATAATTGAAAAGAAAAAGATATTTCGCATTTTTAATTAAGCGCTGCTTAATACGATAGTATGATAACATTATCGGGTATATACGGGGTGTTACACCTGCTGTACTTCCTTCTGTACCCACCGGGTTCAACGCTTCCTCTGATGATCAGAGAATTCTGGTTGGTGCGAATCCCATCCCGGTCCCTCTGCCGATTAGCTTGTGCTAAAGGGTTTTCCAGGTTCGGGTTCGTTGTTTTCATCGAATTAGGCCTTTCACGGTTTTCCACCTCAGCAACCCGGTTCTGATAAACCAAGTCGCGATTTCCTTCCCGGTCATTGGCATGCTGGCCTTCATTTTCTGTTGCCCCTGGTCCAGTTAGCTCCGTTAAGCGCTGTTCCAGGTCTCGCATTCCCCTATTATTTTCCTCTCGTATCACCTGGAAATCTTGTTGCCGTTGAAGGTTATTAAGAGTTTCCATCTCTGTAATTCACTGCATAATCGCAGCAAATGCATTCTGAGCTACCCGAGTATCTGGATCAGCTGATTGGGCAATGCGCGCAGCAAGATCCCCGGGATGCTGGGGAGGGTTGTTCTTTACTGGAGCCATGATTGGAGCCGCGCCCCTATCATGACGCGCTGGAGTGGAAGCGGTGTCCGAGACATCTTCAGTGACATGGACATGATCATAGTCCACATCGTTTCCAAGCTGGTGTTGAGGTTGATTTACCTCTTCCAGCACTGGATTCAGCGGTTGATTCATAGTCCACATCATGTTATTTGGATTCAGCGGTTCATTTTCATTTTTTTAACTGTTTTTATTTTAGGATTGTTCAATTAAACATACTGAATTTGTGTGTATTATGGCAAAAGGGTATAAAATTCAGTGATTGTGTACTAAATATTTTCCACAAATGAATTTATCTGATATTAAAAATAAAGAAACAAGTTGAGTAGATAGAGTTAAGTGACTCGTTTGTTTTTATAATAAGGTTTCAATGCTTGTGTATTATATATTTCCCAATTAAAATAAAAAATAGATGAATTCATTAAAAATAAAGAAACAAGTAGAATAAATGGAATTAGTTGAGTCATGTTGTTCTAATGTTAATAAATGTAAAATGACGATAAAGATAAAATTATTTAATACTATCAGACATTGCACCAATAACATGATGAAAGCCAAGTGAAAGTTTACAAGGAGAAAATTTTGAGTATTCCTGGTAGATACATCTACGCCAAAATGAGAAAAAATTTAGGACTTAAAAGGAATTATAAAGAAAAGCATAAGTTAAAATAAAAATAAATCATTTTTTAATAAATGGGAATCTCAAAGTCAGTACTCCCGTAATATTACAAAAAAATTCCGTTTACAAGATTGTCTGCATATTAAAAAAGAATTGTATTGATGTAGTATCATTTTTATTTTACTTCAATTAATGTCCTATCCTACAATGCTAAATACTTAAACTGTTTTTATTGCTAGCTGTATATTATGTGCCTTTCTTTCTTCGATTAGCTAGCATCTACAATAATAGTATATAGTAGAAGAATTTATTTTTCTAAAGTGGTCTGTTTTTTTTTTTTTTTGGTGAACAAAAGGGGCCTAGCCCCAGAATGTGGTCTATTTTATTATAAACATATAACGAAGTCGTTATTATCCCAGTAATTCAACTATATAAAAAAGTGAAATGGGGATATAAAAGACATATTATTTTGAAAACTACTAATGTTAGGTTAAGAAAAAAAATAAATTATGCTTATTTTTTCAAAAAAATTCAAAATTACACAAC